AGCCGTTTTACCAAACAGTTTCCTTCAAATGATTTTTATAAACATTTTATATGTTTTAAACTACTTAATACACTGTACATCTTACTCGGTACATTACCTTTCAAACTTATTTACAACTGTGTTTCAATCAAATGTTTCCTTATACTCAAAACTGTTTTATCATACTTATGCCTTCAAATTGTTTTATAAATCGACATCAAGTCGATCTTTTCTTAAAATAATATTTATGTTTCAAATGTCTTACAAAATTTATTTATGCTTTTATATTATAAATTGCATGCCTCTATATGTATAGTTATATAAGAAATGTTTAAAAGACTTAGGAAGGCTATCCACCCTATTTCCTTTTCGCGCCTTGAGATGTGGTCTGGTGGGATATTGGGTATTCGTCCGAAAGTCGTTTAAATATTAGTTATATATCATGTGTACATATATAGTCATAAAAGGTCTTTCCAGTTCATCCCATGCCCTTAGTTAGTAAGGGTATACATCCATGACCATACGTACCAGTTAGACTGCTAGTAAACTACCATATGGGTAGTTTAGGAAGATACTAGAACCGTTACTAGAACGCGATATCATACAATGAGTCAGTTCATTCATGAGTCAATACTTTCTAGAACATTACATATACAACTATACTAGGACGAGAACATATACAACTATACTAGGACGAGAACATATACAACTATACTAGGAAGAGAACATATACAACTATACTAGAACAAGAAACATTACCCTTACATTAATACGTTAACAATTGTGATCCACTGTATCGGAGCATGCCTTAAATGTCATGGCCCGAGTTGTAGCCAGAATTCTCTTGGAGGGAGAGCGTTGAGTTTGCGTATAGATCTATACTGGATTGACAATCCTACACCTTGCTGCTAGCTACAGCCGGACCTGCAGGTCTGCGGGTGCCAAACGTCATTCCGTTATTACGACCGTTCTTTGTCGTTGTTATCAGTCGATAGTATGGTGCAATTATCACATTATACCTTAATATAAATCCGGTTTAAGGTAGTTAGTACAGCAGTAGTTCCTATAATACAAAACTACAGTACTACAATGATTTACCCATTACATTTTTAGCGATAACCTCACTTAAACTTTAATGTACAAACTATATTTTGTTAAAAGATAGTTACACTTGGGAAATTACACACTTTTACATCAAACGAGCATACAAAACAGTTAAGCCTTGGTAGAAGGCTACTTTAATAGAAAATATAGGTTTTTCTGAGAGATTCAAACTTTTTCAAATTCTTACAATACATAGACTTACAAATTCTTACATACAAATTAAGACACTAAATACTTATGATCTCACCAGCTTCAAAGCTGATACTCGCTTTCAAAATTACTTGTATCCTCAGGTCATCATAGACAGGTACCGATGCAAGGAGAAAGGAAGATGGAGCTTGTTCAAGACTTATCTTTCATTTTGATTTATGCTTTAGTGTTTATCAAAATTTGACAGAATACAATTGTATAATAATTATTTTATTAATGCAATGGATGATGTTGTTGCTTGTTTACTACTTTACATTGTTGTTGATATTATACATGACGTCCTCCGCCCCAGAACGTTTCCGCCGTTCTCGGTTTTGGGGTGTGACATAAACTCTTAACTCAAATGAGAAGAGTAAGGTAGCTCATGGAATAATGTGAATATAGCCTGATTGGGTAGAAATTTTTGTGATGAAAACTTCATTAAGGCTTCGAAATCACACATTGAGTTAAAAGAAGCTTGGGTCGACATGTTGCAGCATGCTTCTAGGGACATCCTAACTAGTACAAAGATTATCGAAAATAGACCAGACCCTAGAACTGCAAGCATGAAGCATCAATGATCTTTGTCAAACTTTGCAATAAGAAAAAAAATACAAACACCAAAAACAAGAAAATCTTTTTTGTAGTTTTTGATTTTTCAAAAATGAAAAATGAAACAAAAATAAAATCTTTTCGATCTTTTTTATTTTTCGAAAATTGAAAAATGGAACAAACAACACACAATTCTCAAATTTTCATACTAGCATGCATTTCTATCATTTCATATATCACCAAACATAAAAATATAAATATTTTGGGAATCACTTTCCTTTCTGAGTTATGGCTGAGTGTACGCATTGTATTCTTTCCTTATTGAATTATTCTATTTATAAAAATATTTATTAATTACTCAGATCCTTAGTTTGAGTCTAGAATCACACGAGTGTTCTTCCAGTTCGCTCAAACCAGTGCTCTGGTACCAACTTGTTACGTCCCGATTTTCAACCTAAAATGTTCATTTTTCTTTATTTAAAATATTTATTTACATTAGGGTATTTATTACATTATATGGAAACATGATTGCGCATACGCGTATGTACAGTCGAATTTTGCCCTTTTTATGAACCATTGAAGCTCCTAAAAAACATTAATAAACAACTGGGTAAGCGTTAGGCTTAGTAAGTTCCTCCAATATTCTATATACCACAATAGTTATACATGCATCCAAATAATGGCTCCTTGTAACATACTAACTCTCAGGTATTAATTTGAAGTTTAAATTTCACATTTTTAGAACCTACTCGACGAGTTGGTTACCCCCAACTCGTCATGTAGAGACAAATATGGTTGTGTGGTTTATGGAACCTACTCGACGAGTTGGAGGACCCCAACTCGACGAGTAGAGGTTATGCATGAAAACCCTAATTTTTAGGGTTTGCACCCTATTTAAAGGCTCATTAGCCACTCTCTGACTCTCTTATCATCCCCATTAGCCTCAGAAAACCCTACTCGTGTGTTACCTCTCATTTTTTAGTGTGTAAAGGCTTGGAAGGTGGTTATTGTGCTCTTGAGGGGGGGGGGGGGGGGGGAAGCTAGAAGGATCAAGAGTTTGGAACGTGAAGGAGCTTGTAGATCCAACAACTACTTTGTCTTGGCTTCCACTTGAAGGTAAAAAGTCATTTCCTTGTCTATTCTCTTAATAGATCTCTTCAATCGGCATAGTAGGTTCCTCTTGATTCTGTTGGAGCGATCGTCTTGTCTCCTCCATCTGAGGATCCAGCATCATTTGGATCATTGCTTGTACTCCGGCCATTGTGATTGGATCTGGAGCATCTGCTACAACCGGTATTTGCTCAATCATTGGGGGTTGATTCCTATTTCCATTTGCATTCCCGACTCCACTTTGAGTTTTTGCCATTTTGATCTATACACCGAATAGGGTGAATTTAGATCTTTATTTTCGAAGGATGTTTAAATCATCCTTATCACTCCGAAACGTTTACATGTTAGTTCTAATATCGTAGTCGTACGTTTAGAATCCTGAACACATAAGGTTTCCAGATCCGGTCGGCAACCGACCATAGATCCAAACAAATAACAGCATATAGCACATAAAAGCATTTTAGACATCTCTCCTAAAATAAACTAGTGCTTGTGTCTAAAATATACTAGACACTCATCTCACAATCATCGCTTAATATTCTAAGTTTAAGTCTAGAAATCCTACAAATTCCTAATTCGCTTAAACTAATGCTTTGATACCAACTGTGACATCCACATTTTTACGGCCAGAAAAGACCGATTTTGTTTATGCTTGTTTAAAAATCAGAGTAACATTTTAAAGAAAAGTGTTGCGGAATTTGTTCCCAAAAGAAAATATGATAAAGATTTATCAAAGCGTTTCCGAAGAAATGTATTTCATTAAAAACATCAAGATGTCATGTTCGATACAGATCAAAAGCATAAATAGTACAATATAAGCCTTACTACATTAAGGATTTATGTATATTCTCTATACTTGGTGTATATAGTTGTATTTCTTCTGATTCTTTAAGGATGTATCATGTAAATTATTCATATATAAATCTAATGTCTCTCCACCTTATTAGGTGTGATAACTTACATTTTCATATAAATCTAACGTCTCTCCAACTTATCAGGTGTAATGACTTACATTTTCACAAGTGACGTAAAACATCACACATGCACCAGCATGTCTAATGTAACTAAGTCAAGACAACTCTTCATATAAATCTAACGTCTCTCCAACTTATCAGGTGTAATGACTTACATTTTCACAAGTGACGTAAAACATCACACATGCACCAGCATGTCTAATGTAACTAAGTCAAGACAACTCGTGAGATACTCAGAATATGTATGACAAGCATAGGAAAGACTGTATGATATAATATCATGCCTAATGTTAGCAACCATTAATGACACCATATCTTCAAACTGTCATGACAATAACAAAATATGGAGGAAATGTTCCAAATCATATTAGACAAGAAATATGTGAAAACACTCTTATCGTCGATGGGTGAAGGTAGTTGACAATCGAACACAACACATAAAAGAATTTGTGTTAGATTTGGTATGTAAAATCTTAAGAGCATCAAAAAAACTAGTACATCATTGTTACTAGATTCGTGTATCAGCAGTTACCCATCAAATGGATATGGTCATATGGATGATTAATGAATGTAAAGTTTTATGGACATTCAAATTGACTGTTAAGCTGCTGACAGATGAGCTTTGGAACTAACCAAGCCATCTTTATCTTTTCTAAAGAATATTTTATGAGATTATATGATACGCAGGCTTTCAAGGCCAAGTTATTTAATTTTTTAATTCCCAAGGCCCAAGGGGTTGTGTTTATGTGGGTGGCGTCTGAACTAAAAAATATGTAGTAATTTATTTCTAGCCGCTGGAAAACTCCTTCCTGATGGGAAGAAAAAATCAATTGTGCAAGTTAGATACTTTAAATTAGGAAGAAATTGCATAAATAGGCTAAAAAAACAGAAGAGTAACCAAAAATATAGTATTCCCTCTCTTGATTTCATTTCAACTCATCGTAGTGTACCAACCGAGTTCATAGCACAAAAATTAAACAGCAAACAGAAGTTTTAAACATATCATTATTCAATAAGAACATAGCAATGAAAGCAAATAATCCAAAATACCGAATACGAGAAGAGAACATACATACGCACGCGTATGCATGCTTAATAGGCAGAGTATCTATCAGCAGCAGCACCCGCCCAGATCTTCTTGTAAGCAGAAATGAAAGAAGGAATGAGCGCCACAAGTGCAAGGGAAAGATGCTCTGAGCTGCTTGTCTTGACGGTGATCTGACCGCTCATCTTATTGTTGATTCCGGCCCGCACCGCCACTTTTGAATTCCGGCCAGCAGAGAATTGAGCCAAACTGTTGAATCCCAACGCCAGATCCCCTCTCCATTTTATGATTGAAAGCCCGAATGTTGACTGCACCTGACCGATCGGGTAATCCAGCTCCCGCCGTTGTACCTCGATGTTCGCCCCGTAAGCGGAATCCGTCTGGAACCGAACCGTCCCCGCGCTTCCGATCACCGAATACTGCTTTCCAAACGCCACCTGGTCCTCCACTTTGAATCCGGTCACCACGTTTTCACCAAGAAACGTGACCGACATTCCAGCAGCCGTCTTGTTTCTTTTCAGATTCTTGAATTTGGTTTCCCCCCGCACGATGTACGCGAGTTGTTTCCCGATCGGTTGAATGTCGAATCCGGCCATAGTCGACCCGTTCTCCCCATGCTTAGTGGAAACCGACGAATCCATGTTGATGCTGAAGTCTTTCTTGTCTTTAGTGACTTGGACGGAAACAGACGTCGGAAAGCGATTCATGATTGCCAGAGTTTGTTCCAGGTTGACTCCATCATAACCGCAGTCATGGTCCCAACCATGGGTGTCAAGTACCGGTCGTGCCAGGAATTGGGACGTCGGCTCCAGGAATCGGAATCGGTACGCCGGATTATCGCTGTCAAAAGACGGTGGCAGTGCCATGTCCGGCAACGGAACCGCCACCGGCGCCGGCGTGTCACCTTCGCCTTCCTCCTCTTGAAAACCTCCATCGGTCACACCATCTTTACCTCTCTTTTTCATTTCCTTCATTCTTTTCAATTCCTCTTTCCATTGCTTCTTCTGTAAAAGCTTGACTCGGTAATCGTACTCATCAAAGTAAGCTTTCTTCTGTTCTTTGCTAAGCTTTGCAAGTTGGGTCTTCTTCAATGGTTTGAAAGGTGGGAGCTGATCGTATTCATCTTCATCTTCTTCATTTTCCGATTCCGACAGATCCGCCAGGTCAACATCGGAATCACCACCATCACCGCCCTGCTCCGACGAAAGCTTCGGGTGTGCACGGGACTGCAACATCGAGGACAACATGTACGGGAGTGGTGGTGACCGGACACGGAAACCGAAAAGCTTGCGGTTGTCATAAGGATCTTGCGGTTTCGATAGCGCGTTTGCTTCTGCTAAAATCTTCATGGAGTAACAAAGCATAAGAAGCTGCGGCCTCCAAGTTTGACCGTTCGGAAGCACCTTCTGACCTTCACGATTCTTCCGACACGACTGATGGTTTTCAACTAAAGAAACCGGGTTCATTAAGCTAGGGCTCATCATCCGCAGATCACCAACCGCATGCCCAATTGCTTGTTGGACAACATGCGATCGCTGCGTAACAAACATTTCATAACTCAACGGGATTCCATTAGAACCTTCCGGAGGCGCGGAAGCAGCATGTGTGAAAGTGACTATGGCACTTCGCCAGATGGCGGGACCCAGGGAATTCGTAATGTTTTTCAGTAATGGAATGTCGTTATGGTCTCTGGTTTGGGCATCCAGACGATCAACATAAAGAACGATATCTGCGGGGTTTTTCTTTGTGAACTTTTTTGCTGATGAGAGTACACTTCTGTTAAAACCTTGATCCATCACAGAGGATCGAAGCCCAGGTGTATCAAAAACACGAACCGCAACTCCACCTACCATACCACGTATCTCCTTCACTGAATCAGTCGCAGGTTGAAAAGCACTGATTCCGGTCTTGTCTTCCCCGAAAATGGAATTGATGGTGGCACTTTTTCCGACCCCTGCTTTACCGATTACCAGGATGTTGACCGAAAAGTCAAGATCATCATTCCCTTCAGCTTCAAGCTCCATGGCTTTTCTTTTAGCAGCATCAAGGCTAAAAGATTGACCGGTTTGTCTCCCTGCGATTAGAGCTAGCCTGTAAAGAACCTGTGCTGCTACAGACTCGTCTGGAGAAAGGCCTAACCTCTGCACAAGTCTCAAAAACTTCACCCTGATGGACTGTAACTTCTCCAGCTTTTTCCTTTCTTCATCGCTCAAGTTGCTTTCTGTTTCACTGACACTCATGATGCTTGAAGGGTTGTTGTAAAGATTGGAGCGTGTTGGTGTTGGTCGGGTGGCGGCTCTCATGGGCTGGAGTGAGGGGCCCAGTCCAGCGGGGCGTTCAACTGTGAAAAGTCTAGAACCATCTTGTGAAGAAAACGTGATGTTGCCACCTTCTGAGCTACCATCAGCTGCTGCTTTTAGAAGTGCAGCTAATGCAGCTGAATCAAACAGCTCTTTCCCGTCTTCTTCTTCTTCATCATCATCATCATCTTCATCAGAATCTGTGACAATCTGACCATCAACCATCTGGGAACGATCTTGAGAACTCTCCCCACCTTCACCTGATCCTCCTTCCAACTCCTCCATGAACTGCTTTGCAGCTTCTGAACTTCCAAAGATCACACCATCAGTATCTTCATCTGAAGGGGAACCATCCATGTAGCCTTCTTCATTATCATCATCCTTTTCAGCAGAATCCTCTACAACAAATTTGTCTGCTGGGCCGTTTTCTAGACCATTATCAGCATCAATGTCGATATGTTTTGCCTTGGCATCTGCATCTGCATCATCGGATAAATCTTTGCCCAAAACTTCTGTTCCCTGAGCTATCTCATCAGGAACAGCTTTGTCCAATACTTCTGTTGCCTGAGCTGTTTCATCAGGGGTATCTTTGTCCAAACTTTCTGTTTCCTGAACTGTATCACCATCCAAACCAACTATGGACACATCTTCTACATCATCTAAAGCAGTCATCACCACTGAACCATTTTCTTTACCCTCATAATCAACCTCTTTCTCTACTTCTGCCTCTGGGTTCTTTTCATTCTTCTCTACATCATCACCAACAGAATCTTCCACCAAAGGTGAAAATTTGCCATCGGTCACTTCAACAACCTCCTTATCCACAACTTCTTCTAAAACACGGTCTATCTTCTCAGATGAAAAACCAGCCTCATCGGCCACAGCACCACCATAATCTTCTTCTGTCTTGGTAACCACTGCCACTCCAGGGACTCCCGCCACTGGCAAATCAACATCTATGGCTTCCACCACAGAATCACCTTCAGAAGTGATCTTCACATCATCTGCACCAACAGATTCTAAATCAGGTTCTTCAACAGCAGAACTAGTGTCATCGGGTCCACCAACTAGCAGCACCTCCTCATCCTCATCATCGTCCTCAACATCTTCCATATTAGAAACCACAGCCACACCTGGTACAGGCGCATCAACTTTTATTTCTTCCACAACAGAATCCCCTTCTGTGGTAAGCTTCACACCATTGGCTACAACCACCTCCTTTTCTCCTTCTTTAGGACTATCCGATTTCACTTCATCCCTATTCACAACCTTTGATACAGTTTCATCAACTACATCTCCCTTACTTTCACTCACCTTATCTCCTTCAACCCCTTCCACAACCTCCTGTTTCACCACTTCACTCGAATTCAAATTCTCATCCGATTCAAGCTTCTCGTCTGCTCTCTTATCCACCAAACCTAAATTATCCTTTTCGGCATCATCAACAACCTCATCACTCACGGTCGCTAAATCAACCTTCGGCAAAAGAACTTCAAAAGCCTCGGAAAACTTCTCACCGTTATCCACACCTTCGTCTACATTTAGTATGGCTTTTGAATTCTCATCTAAGTTTGTCTCAAAAGCCTCCTCCTCACCACTAGCAAAACCCTCGTTCTCGTCATCGGAACTAGCATTCAGACTACTAGTTTTATTATTATCAACTTTGTTAACGGATTTCAAACCATTCGTTTCGTTAACCGAATCGATTTTATCGGAAGAAACAGAAGAAAAACCTGAGAGAGACGTATCTTCCTTCGAGTCCATGGATTCTGAACTTCACCAACACTCGTGCTACGTGAAACCAATACAAGAAACGATTGGGTAACTAGGGTTTATGATAGTGTACGAAATTGGGGATAAGGATTTAGATAAAGAGAGAGGTGATAAGGTTCTCGTAGAGAACGATAGAAAGAGGGATGAAATCCTTCGCAGCCGCTACACAGAAGTAGTTGCTTGGGGGGTTGGGGCTTTTTTTTCTGGGCTTCCGCCGGGAGTGAAATTACGAAAATCACCCTTGGATAGCACGTGACTAGGAGGGATATTTTACGGTTGAGGACAACATTTTCTTATTTATAACTAACTTTGGTTAAAATTTTAATTTAATCAGTGGACTCTGATAAAACACGAGAGGATACTTAAATTTCACATTTGGCAAACATACATATTCTCTCAAATATTAGTTTTTTACAAAATTTTGAAGGAATACTTGAATTTCACATATAGCAATCATACATATTCTCTCAAATATAGCTTTTTACAAAAATTTAGGTTTTTAACTTCAAAAAATATTTATAATTTCCAAATTTTGCTAAACATATTAGAAGTTACACCAAATTTGGTTCGTGCTCTTTGCAATTCATCTTTTCCGTCGTTAGTTATTCTGTCGTTAGATTTAAATATATATATATATATATATATATATATATATATATATATATATATATATATATATATATATATATATATATATATATATATATATATATACTAGGTTTAAACCCGTGGAAATCCACGGGTGATAAATTGAAATATAATTATAGTTTCTAATACCTTGGAATAACCGAAATTTTGATATTTTTGCATTTAAGATTAGCACATTCATAAGTAACGATTCCGGCCACTTCATGAGAACCATCAACCTTATCAGTTGAAGACTCTTTTTCTTTTGCTGACTTTTTGCAGTTGCTACAAGCAAGGTAATACCAACGTATATTTTGACGTATTCCCTTAACAGTACCAACAATAATGACTGTCTTTTCCTGGATATTAAAATAATGCTCATTGTTAATAAATGTTATTTTGCGAAAGTGTATTTTAGTTTAGTTATAACAATATACTCTAAATATGAAAAAACATTTAAAATTTAAAAACATAAGTGCATTAAACTAACAATTTTAAAAATAATGTAAAGTACCTCCAAAGGTTCAAACAAGTCTTCAATGTTAGAAAACAAATGATTTTTCAGAAAGTCATCATGTTCTGTGTCTTGTTTTGATGCAATCATTTTAATTCCACTTGATGACAGTTGTTGTCCATTTTCAGAGACCAATCTGTTCATTTACAACAAAGAAATGATTTAAATTTATTATAGTATGAAATAAATAAATCTGATAATACATAGGAAATTCTAAATGAAAATACTTGTTTTTGTAGATTGTAATTTCATCGATATCATTGTTTATGAAAACCCTACTAACATCAAAGTGGTGGATGAAAAAGGACGACCTGCCAAAATAAATTTGATTATTCAATAATATATATATATATATATATATATATATATATATATATATATTAGATTATGTTTGTTAAAAATAGTTACAAACCATTAATAAACTTCACCCTGGCAAATTGAACAATAACAATAACTGGAGCAAGGCTGTTATTGTTAGCAAGAAAATCATGCATGTAGTATGCATTATGACCCCACAAAATTATCTTAAGCTTAGTATCCCTGAAATAATAAACAAATATTGTAAATAATATAAATGAAGCTATATTACTTGTTTGTAATAATGATGAATACTCTATATCTTGAAGATGCAAGAGCATCTTGTGTTTTGATTTATCTTGTTCTGAGGTATCCATATGCCCATACTCAAAAATGTGTCCAATAATATCTACAAAAGCAAGAAAATATAATTTAATATAAAATATCAAATTGTAATACGAAGAAAGAATTTAGGATATTATATAGCAAAAGTTAATATTAAATAAACCAACCAAAAGAGTTTGACTCCAGGATGTTGTTAGAAACGATAGTATTGAAGTCAACAAAATGAAAGCCATGTGCAGATCCAGAAAAGTTTTCACAATCTTTTACAATTGTATCGTGATAAAAAATTAGTTTTGATTCCGGATGAGCAAACTTAAATTTTGAAGTATTTGGTGCGACGTTAGGTTTCTTGACGTAAATTGAACTATCCTCTTTTAAATAGCGCTTGAATTTAGGAAACCATTTCTTCACACATGATGCATGAATTTTCCTTCCCTAAAATAAATGAAATAATAAATATTTAAATATAATTGCTTATGAGTATGAATAATATAATTGCTTATGAGTATGAATAATTTTTTATAAAAATAATAATTGAATACATCCATCTTATACCTCCTCATCCATCAAAATCATTTCTATCGAGTATGTGTCGTTCGCATCAAATCTTGACTTTTGAGTCCAAAGACGTATGATCCGAACTTTAATTGTGAAATCGTCCTTGATTGAGTCAATTTCCTTTATAGGAGTAATATGTTCCATTGTACCTTGCAAGTTAAAAAAAAAAATTACATTAAATTAGACAATTATAATCAGCACACAGAAAAAAACAATCAAACAGTCAAGAAGAAAGTACATTGGTAGGCTGTTACGATTAAATTAGACAATTATAATATGCGTTTTTCCAGGTGAGTATTCATATAAAATATTTATTTCCTTAATTAAAACAACAAAAGATATATTTTTATTTATTTTTCCAATTTGCATAACTTTTTTTATTGATTTAATAAAGTTGCATACCAAATTGTTAGGCTGTTACGATTTCACCACCTAAAATATGTATATTTGTATTATAATATATTATCTTGTTAGTATTTCATGAATGCAATCAATAACACTTGTGTGCTTTGAATGCGAAGTTGGATTTAGCTTTGCTATAAGTTTCAATCGATTTTGAAATTGAGTATTGTTCGCATTTGTATGAGTGTAGTCGATGAATCGATAAAGCAAGAACATATGAGTTTTGATTCGCAATTGGATTGATGATTGAGGGATGATTCGTGAAGAAAAACGCGAAGTCAAGGACTGTGAAATTGTTGTTTGCAAGAATTTAAAAACTCGATTGTGGAGTTGTTGATGCTCATTTTGCGAAAGTAAAACAATCGAGTGTTTGCATCTGTGAATCAATTTGAAGTCAATTGGGTTAATATTCGCATATGGGTTCAACATATGAATTTTTGATTTCGCAAGTTTAGAGTTCAAGAACTAAACTGTGTTCGCATCTGGAATGAAAATTTTGTGGTTCGCATTTGATTAATTAGGTTAAAATGCGAAGGTGATTAATGCGAAGGGATGCGAAGGGTGTAAGAATGAAGATGCGAAGTATTTCACAGTAGAATGCGAATTGGGGAAGAAAACAGAAATTTTCAAATATTGTCCCTGGAGTTTCGCATTTTTGGAAATAAATACTCAACTTCGCAAATGGGGGTCATAAAATGATGAAATTGCAGAATTTTTAAAGAGATACACACACATAGACAACCACACATATATTTAGAAAATTAAACTAAAAGATGATAAATTACAGATTATAGCATTGTTCTTTGAGAATAAATTACTAAAAATGGGATATAGTGTAACAGGAACTTCAAAAAGAAATTGATACTTTTTTGTTTATTATATAAACGGTTTGATAAATCAGACGAAATAATCAATTCTTTTGTTTATCATTTAAGTGTAGATGTTACCAAGAAAACAATGAGAAAATTACATATTTACTGATATACCCTTAAGGGTATATAATGAGAAAAAAACTAAAAATCGAAAACTAAACAGAAAAAACCTGTATATTTAACAAAAAAATTAGGATATAAACAGGAAAATCGTAAAGCACTGATTGATTTATATATTTAATTGTATCACTTGCAAACATACTTTTCAAAAACAGATATAAACATATACGTACATATAGACAATAAAACATATATTTAGAAAAATAAACTAAAAGATGATCAATTCCAAAATATAGTATTGTACTTTGAGAGTAGATTCCTAAACATAGGATATAGTGTAACAGGAAGTTTAAAATGAAATTTGTAATTTTTTTGTTTATTATTTAAACGGGTTTGATAAATCACATGAATTGATAATTTGAGTTACTTTTTCAACAGGTTTGTAGTTTATATGAATATGATGTTAAAAGAAACCACCAACTGATAAAAGTATTTTCAAGTTTTCAAAAACGTGTCATGTAAGAAAAATCATTATGGAAGAATTATTGGTCTAACCATCCAAATACCCTAATTACGATTAAGTATTTAGATGGACCAAATCATTGGAGGAAGCAAATAGGTGTAGAAGAAATTGAATGGTCCTATGACTCTAATGTATCACATACAGTTATATAAGATACACATATTAAGAAAACCAAAAATCGACATACACAGATCGTGACTATATGTACCAGAATATACATAAAGAAATACCAATGTATCAAACTCTTATACATAACAGGTAAAAAAATAGAGGGAAAAGTGATGAAATCGATTAAGAATGTAGATGAAATAGAACATCTAAAAGGTAAAGAGCAATGTAGTTTTGCTGACTGATGATGAATACGTGACCCTTAAAATCGTATTGACTTCTGAAATTGTATTGAAATATATCATCTCTTCCTAAACTGATTTCCTGATTTTTTGGGATTGATATAAAATGGAATTTAAATTGATTACCTGATTTATTGGGATTGATTTGATCTTCAATATTCCACCGAATTAAATTTGAAATTTCCTGATTTATATATTTACTGATTGACGATTTATGTTTTCTGATGTGTACAGTTTTATTTTTGAGAATAGAAGGGCGAAGTGGGAACTTCACTTATAATTTTTGAGCGGGAAAATGCAAGGGTGAGTGGCTAAGGGAATGTCAGGTGGCGTTTCTAGTACTGTTTTATTAGTAGAGAAGATATATATATATATATATATATATATATATATATATATATATATATATATATATATATATGACATGAGTATTTTTTTTATTTTATAATATCTAATATGACATTTTTCTATTTTAGGTTAAGAAAATATATAAAATTTCACAAAAAAAATGTCGGTATTATTAATATTTTACTATGACTGCAAATAAAATATATGTACAACTTATATTAAAAACAATCATACGTAATTATTTTGAAATTTTCGTATTTCATTTCTCCCTTTGGTCCAAACAAGGCATTTCCCACCTAAAAGCCAACTTTGTTCCATGACAAACTTGTTTGTAACAATAAATGAGGGACGGCGATATATATATATATATATATATATATATATAATATATATATATATATATATATATATATATATATATATATATATATATATATATATATATATATATATATATATATATATATATATATATATGGGAAAAGTGAATATACCCTTAACGGTATATAAGCTTAGGTACCCAAACTCATCATAATACGTCGGTTTTTTTTATATATTCATTATAATGTTCTTTGACTTCGATTTCTAACTTGATTTACAATAAACATTTTCGAAATTTCACTATTATGTTCCTCTTACATTACATTTTTTTTCGAACACCTACTAGGCTATATATATTATAGGTGAAAATGAAAATTACTAAAGAGGGAGATAAATGTGAAATTTATAAAAATCTTGGAAGTAAATCAAGTTATAAGTTGAATTATAAGAACATTGGACAATTATAATATATATATATATATATATATATATATATATATATATATATATATATATATATATATATATAAAATACAAAATGACATAGTATTGTAAGTTTGGGTATCTAAGCTTATGTACCCTTAAGGGTATATTCACTTTTCCTTATATATATATATATATATATATATATATATATATATATATATATATATATATATATATATATATATATATATATAGAGAGAGAGAGAGAGAAAGAGAGATTTAGGTTCTATTGAAAAGAAAAAACTCTAAAAATCACAAAAATACATAAAAAAAATACTTAGAGATTACAACATTTTTTTGAATTTTTTTTATGAAAAAATCGCATGTTTTTAAATAAATTCATTGATTTTTTTATTTTGAAAAAAAAATTACTTCTTTTTTTAATTTTGATTTTTTATTTTTTCCAACAAATTTATTAAAAAACCTGCGATTTTTTTTATAAAAAAATTTTGTAATCTCTAAGTGTTTTTTTTATGCATTTTTATGATTTTTAAGGTTTTTTAGGGTTTTTCTGTTTTACAAATAACCCTTATATATATATATATATATATATATATATATATATATATATATATATATATATATATCATTATTATATAAAAAAACCTTATTTTTTTCAGAGCGCATCCGGCGCGTGAGATCGGTTTAGAGGAACGCACATTTCGTCATGTTGAAGACAAGGGATTAAGGTGAATCAACGCGTTTCTTTCTACCACCACTTCCAAAAAACGATGCATTGAAATGAGGCGACTTCTCATAAACCACCCTTCCCCATTCATCAACCGACTCAGGAGTTCCATTAATTACAACTCCAGCATCTCTTCAAGAAATCTCCGACCACATCATCTACACAAAAAACATAATTGGCCACTACATAAAATGTGTATTCATATGTATCTCTCTTCAATCTATGTGTTGACCCTTCTTCTCCAGTGATTTCAGGGGGTGTTTGGATAAATATAATTTTAGCTTATTAGCTTATTGTTTAAAAAGTGTTCGGATTACCTTACTGTGGTGGGAATAAGCAGTTTTTTAAAAAGTGTTCGGATTACCTTACTGTGGTGGGAATGAGCAATAAGCAATAAACATTTTTAAGTGTTTGGCAAACAAAACAGCTTATAAGTTTAGTGCTTATTGTGGTGAGAATAAGCAGTTTTTTAAAAAGTGTTCGGATTACCTTACTGTGGTGGGAATGAGCAATAAGCAATAAAAATTTTTAAGTGTTTGGCAAACAAAACAGCTTATACTAGTAAAATGATCAAAAAGAGCTTCCTCTTATTAAAACAATTTTTTATCTTATTAAAACAATTTTTTATAAATATTTTTTTAAAACAGTTTTTTAAAAAGTGTTAACATATTTATCTTATTAAAACAATTTTTTATAAATAATAATAATAATATTTTTGTTATTCACAAGAACTAAAAAAAAAAACAATTATCATGCTACTACATATTTTTTTTATTAAAACAAAACATTTTTTTTAAATAATAATAAATTTTTTCTTATTCATAAGAACTAAAAAACAATTATCATGCTACTACATATTTTTCTTATTAAAACAAAACATTTTTTTTAAATAATAATAATAATTTTCTTATTCATAAGAACTAAAAAAAACAATTACCATGCTACTACATATTTTTCTAATTAAAACC